CCCTACCGGCTTGCTGGGCCTGTCGTTGGATCATCCGTGTTTGAACAATAATTTGATGGAAATCCCCTAAAACAAAATTTATCAAAACTGCATAGTGATAGCCGCAGCTTATTCCGCCATCTTGGCCAGCGTCATCTTCCTTCCCTTTGATCATCTAAAGTTGTTATCGTCAATGCCACAGAGGGCAATGTGACATACTAATTAAGTTTTATGAGGTCATGGTGGATCCACTAAAAAAATGGATCAGGTTTAACGGTTGTGATTCTGAGGTTTAATTTGTAAAATGAAATAAAAATGAGATCCATGTATCATATATCCATATTTATTTCATGAATATCGTCATACTGTGAGCCACCTGTGATATACTGAAGATATACTTTTGATCACTGACAATGAAACACAACCACGAGTAATGATGTACAGAATTGTAACAGAAAGTCAACCCAAGAGTTTTAGTCTGAACAGCAAAAAAACAGAAGTGATGGTAATTGCAAAGATGATAGAGCCTCCAATATGCTGCATAAAAGTTAATGGGGCAATCCTCAAGCGAGCTGATACGTTAAATTACTTGGGTACTCTGATGACAGCAGATAAAAGATAAATTTAAAAAGTTAAATGTAGAACAGCTCAAGAACAGGCAGCATTTCGTACGTTTTTTTTTACCGGGACCCTCACGAAAAGCAAAGAATTGTAACACTGGAACCTTACCAAGCATGTCATAAGAGGTGACTGAGCGTAGGGTGGGCTTGGGTTAACAACATTATCCTATTTAAAAAAAATTGCCACAAAAACCAACCAGCCATGGTAAAGTCAACCAGAAAAACCCAGCCAACTAAGATGATAGGAGACTCTTTTTATAGACGAATGATGACGCGTTGAGGAGAAAGCCGAGAGGAGTCCGGATCGTCGACGACGTACCTCCTTTCACCTAGGTAAATCTTCAGAGTCGGCACATGCAATATTAGAACTGTGTCCGGTGTAGGGAGAACAAAAGAGGTATTACGGGAAAGAAAACATTATAGGATTAGTATTTTAGGATTATATGAAACTAGATGAAGAAGGTGATTAGAGAGCCAAGTTAACAAGATGAGGATCCCTCCGAGACCAGACAAGTGGAACACCTTGTACGGAGGAAAAGAACAGCTTGTGAAAACATGCAAATTCCACTACATGGCATTGGGCCAAAGGGCGAAAGCTCATGCGCCGCTGGATCGATAACAACAACAACAACAACAACAAGATGAGGAGGACATGGGGTGAGCTGTGTGCGATAGCAAAGAATAGAATGAATTGGTTGAGGGCCTATGCTCCATTGGGGATAGAAGGCAGAAGAAAAAGACAGGCAGCATTTTACAGAATAAAGAATTTTCTATGCAATCTTTGTTTGTCAACAGAAATGATAAAGATAATTCTCAAGAGCTTTATAAATCCTATCATGAGACATATAGAAACCAATCATTGACAGATGGGCCATTAGTGAAAAACTATTTGAAAGTGGAGAGATGTGGTTTTATAGATAGATCAATTATGAGAATACCCTGGACACATAAATAGAGTACTGAGGATGTTTTGAAAGAAACTGACTCACAAACAAAACTGATAGAACAAAAGAGATAATCTACATTCAAGAAGAAAACTGGAATACATCAATATTGTGGGGAAGCTGGAAGAGAGAAGAGGCAGAGTGAGACTTGAGAGAGAAGATGCCGCACAGTTTGACATCATGGCATGGAAGATCATCTGTGTCAAAAATTATTGAATACACACAAGAGAGAAGGTTTTGGCATGATTACCAATGCCACATGGCATGGAAGATCATCTGTGTCAGAAACGATTGAATACACACAAGACAGAAGGTTTTGGCATGACTTCCAATGCCACATGGCATGGAAGATCATTTGTGTCAGAAATGATTAAATACACACAAAACAGAAAGTTGTGGCATGACTTCCAATGCCACATGGCATTGAATGTAAGAAGGAAAAGAAGATTCTGAGGTCGACATGTACTCAGTAAGCCTTTAGTCTCTTCCATGGTTGGGAAATCAAGGAGATAACTCATTACCTTGTGAGGCATGTCCTTGGGCATTCTAGTGTGATGCATATAGCCTGGTTATGCATCCTTTGAAGCTTCTTCATCTGTCTGTTGTTGGAAGTATGGACTGTCAAAGCATCAATAAGTCAGTCAGGTGCCATCTCCACAACAAAGGTTGGCTGCACTGGAACACCAACACACTCCATCTCTTGACTGGGTTGTTTACTCTCTCAGACAGCTGTTGGTCCATCTCTTGATGTTGTCCTCCCAGCTGTTTCACTTCTACCCCTTACCATCAACTTCCCTTCCATATAGTATTTAAAGGAGTGTTATACTTTTAATATCAACACTCTGGTACAAAAGACGATAGTGTTGAGCAATGAACTGATATCAAAAACACTATAGACATTCAAAAAAGCACTTCATCCTCATCTTAAGCAGCCAGCAAAGAGTTTCTAATTTCGACAGTGCCATTAGAAGTTTGATTATATCATTCCCTGAGTTGAGAGTGTCGAGCAGATTCCATGGTCACTCCTAACTCTAGCCTTTTCTCCTGATAATAATGATCAATTTGTGCTTGCAAATTGGTCACATACTCTTACAGGGTGTTGACCACACCTATCTTCTCATGCATAAATTCACCACCCACTGATGCAGAACCAGCCAGTCTGTCTGCCTGTTCAGTTTCCGACACTCCTGCATAACCTGGCGAAAATATCCAAGAGACAGAGTCAGCACTGCTCCAGATGTAGTGCTGTTGCCACATTCACAGCAGCTATGTCCATCATAGCACTCAGCACAATTCCATAAGCACCCTAGCCCCATCAACAGCAGTGAGTGCACAGTTCCACTTCTGATTTACCTCTAGCAATCTGATCATTTATATGTTTTTGGCTTTCTTCTGAGTGTTTAACCTCAGCTAGATCCCCTGGTCATTCACCGGTATTCACTGTTAACATGATGAAAAAAGTGGTTTGGGATCATTCTTGGGACCAAACTGCCAACTTGCTCTAGCACACACTGTATGTCTAAGCTACTCCACTACACACAACCAGACAAAGAACAATGTCACACACTGTATGTCTAAGCTACTCCCCTACACACAACCAGACAAAGAACAATGTCACACACTGTATGTCTAAGCTACTCCACTACACACAACCAGACAAAGAACAATGTCACACACTATATGTATAAGCCACTCTAATACACATAACCAGACAAAGAACAATTTCACCATTAATCATAAACGTATGTATTTATTCAATGTTGTTCAGTGTAAAGAAAGAAATAATATATAAGTAGATGCATTTGCAAAACCGGTATTTAACCAGCTAATAAATGTCTAGGTGTTTGTATGGTGACATCTATGCCAGGTGCTTTAGATTGCTTGAGGCCAGAGATGTCAGTGGAATGGTTATGTTGTCCAATCTGGCAGATGGAACTCTGTGATGTCACTTAGATAACATCATGGTTACAAACTCTGGTGAGGACATAAAACATGTTTCAGGGCGATAGACCGAAGACAGTTTTTTTTATTCTTCTTTACCTGATTATTTTTCATTAGCTGCCAAACTTTTTAAATTTGTGTGTGTAAGCGTGTGTGTATGTGGGTGGGCTTGGTCGTAAATGTAGATAGTCGTAAGTCGGGGAGAAAGTATACTTAGGTCTACGCTGAGTTTAAACCCATTCCGCTGTAGACGTTAAATCAAAACCTCGACAATATATCTCACTTATTACATTAAAAAAAAAGTTTTTAGATAAAATTACATAAGGGGTGTAACCAAAGTAATAAAATACAGTTTAAGCATGAATTGATTTACCTCCCTTAATTTGGACTTTCCTGTTTTAAGGAAGCCCCGTATATTCCGTTGCAGAATTGTAGCAATATATTTAAAGCGGTCAGTGTACTTGCTAACCAACACAGTGTGTCTGGGTTTAATCCCTGTGGTCAGTTAACTTTACATTAAACTTATGAGTCGTCTCCACAATGAAGGTTGGCTGTCTTCCCCAGTTTTGCAGCTTTTCCCTTTATTTTTACAGCTTTTCTCTTCCTATTTTTGCAACTTTTCTCTTCATATTTTTTAGCTATTCTTTTTCTATTTTTGCAGCTATTCTCTTCCTGTTTTTGCAGCTATTCTCTTGCCCCAATTTTGCAGCTTTTCTCTCCCTATTTATGCAGCTTTTCTCTCCCTATTTATGCAGCTCCCCCCCTTCCCCCTCCATTTTTGCAGCTATTCTCTTCTTCAGTGTTATAACTTTTCCTCATTTTCTTCCCATTTTTACAGATTTTTTCTTCCCTATGTTTGCTGCAATTTTTTTCTCAAGTTTTGCAGTTTTTCTCTTCTACCATTTTTTTGCAGCTGTAATCTTCCCCATTTATACAGCTGTTTTTATCCCACTATTTATTGCAGCTGTTCTCTTCCAGGAAATTCAGCTTTTAAAAACCAACTTTATAATGCTGGTGCACTGAGAAGCGGTAAAACCGATCCTTCGGTTGGGTCAAGTTCCTAGTAAATGTTACTCTTCTATTTGTGTATAGTGGACCTGTTAAAGAGATGCATATTTGATGCTAGTGGCAACTTTTGTGCTAGTGCAAACATTCTGTAGGCCAGGAATACATGAACTAAAAATAGCATGAAAAGGGGAGGGAGGGGGAGAGAGGTGTCCTTTAAGACAAACAGTTTCTTTAAAGCCAATTTGATGTCAAATTTTCCCATAGGCCTCAGTGATAGAGAACAGAGGTCATGACAGGAGATACCCGTTTCATGTTTTTTAAGGCCCTGGGGAATGTATTCTCCTTAAATTTCACCCTGTTCATGCTAACTAAGTATTCTCTTCAGTTGAAAAAAACAAAAACAAAGACAAATGAAACAAAATCAGAATATACCTTCATAGTTAACCTGTCCATCACCATCACAGTCTGCCTCCCGGATCATCTCATCCACCTCCTCATCCGTGAGTTTCTACCCCAAGTTGGTCATCACATGACGAAGTTCTGCTGCCGAGATGAAGCCGTTGCCGTCCTTGTCAAACACTCTGGAAAACAGCATTAGGGATAAGAGTTATTTTCTTATTTTCATGTGATAATCAGGACACAGAAATGAGATGTATATGATGAACCGTAAATATAATTATAAATTACTGAATCAGAAATGATGACTTCAGGAAAAAGGGTGGGATGAAACCAGTGCTAAACTACATCCTGTGTGGGTCCTGGGGTCCCACTGTGGAGGACAATAGAACAGATCCACTGCAACTTAACTAGCATGTCATAAGAGTCGACTAATTAGTGATGTTTCCATCGAAGTCACAGTGCATGTGCCTGACAGGTGAGGATCCAACAGTCTGCATATAGATTAGTAAGGTCTGTGAAATGAATGTGCACACAAAACGCAATATGGGACGCAATGTTTCGTTATTTTAAAACCCGAGCCTGGCTGTAGTCTGGGCCATAATTTATCCCATAAGTTGATTTGGGTTTCTGGTACTTGTGCCTGGGTGATTCACTTTGTGTCACCGGGTGTTGGTCACTCACTGTGCGGTCCTAGAGATGTTGAACATCAATCATTCAGAAGAAGGAGAAGGAGAACAAGAACAAGGACAAGATGGATGAAACTTGCCTAAATGCTTCTCTAATTTCCTCTTCTGAATCTGTATCTTTCATCTTCCTGGCCATCATTGTCAGGAATTCTGGGAAATCAATGGTTCCATTTCCTGTAGAAGCAAGCATTCAAGGTGTGTTATTTTCAAACACAGTGTCAAATGTGTGTTATCTTCAAACACAGTGTCAAATGTGTGCTATCTTCAAACAAAGTGTCAAATGTGTGTTATCTTCAGACACAGTGTCAAATGTGTGTTATCTTCAAACACAGTGTCAAATGTGTGATATCTTCAAACAGAGTGTCAAATATGTGCTATCTTCAAACAAAGTGTCAAATGTGTGCTATCTTCAAACACAGTGTCAAATGTGTGCTATCTTCAATATAATGCCAAATGTCGGTTGCCTTCATTTGAAGTGTCAAATGTGTTTTATCTTCATTTAAAGTGTCAAATGGGTATTATCTTGATTTAAAGTGTCAAATGTGTGTTAACTTCAAATACAGTGTTAAATATGTGATATTTTTAAATGGTGTCAAATGTGTGTTAACTTCAAATACAGTGTCAAATGTGTGTTTATGTCTTACAAGCAACGTTTCTACCTCACCACCACCATTTCTACATCTTTACCATCCTTTCTACCTCATCACCACCATTTCTACCTCACCACCATCATTTCTACCTCATCACCATCCTTTCTACCTCATCACCATCTTTTCAACCTCACCACCATCCTTTCTACCCCACCACCGTCAATTCTACCTCACCACTACCATTTCTACCTCATCACCACCATTTCTACCTCATCACCATCATTTCTACCTCATCACCACCATTTCTACCTCACCACCATCATTTCTACCTCATCACCACCATTTCTACCTAATCACTACCATTTCTACCTCATCATCACCATTTCTACCTAATCACTACCATTTCTACCTCATCACCACCATTCTTACCTCAGCACCATCATTTCTACCTCATAACCACCATTTCTACCTCAGCATTACCATTTCTACCTCAGCACCATCACTTCTACCTCATCACCACCATTTCTACCTCAGCACCATCAGTTCTACCTCATCACCACCATCGTTTCTACCCCATCACCACCACCATTTATACCTCATCACCACCATTTCTACCTCACCACCACTATTTCTACCTCATCACCACCATTTCTACCTCACTACCACTAAATTCTACCTCACCACCACCTCTTCTACCTCATCACCACCATCGTTTCTACCTCACTACTACCACCTCTTGCAGCTTACCATCGGCATCCACCTCATTGATCATGTCCTGCAGCTCAGCCTCTGTTGGATTCTGACCTAGTGACCTCATTACTGTTCCCAGCTCTTTTGTAGTGATTGTACCATCGCCATCTTTGTCAAACAGACTGAACGCCTCTTTAAATTCTGAAAAGGACAAACCAACATTCTCCAATCCTTAAGCCCAATGACATGAAACTATGTAAGCAACGAGGACGGGAAATGGTAATCAAGTTTCATAACAGGGTGCTTTCCCAAAATCTTCCCCCAGGATGACGTCACTGGGCAGTCCAATATTTGCAAGGGTGGTAAGAGCGGGTTTCCCGGCTTTCTGATGCTTTTAACTACCCCAAAACGTCTAGGACTGGTTCTAACCTCAACCCACTACATCCCACGAGAGAGTGCAGCCTAGGTCCCACGACTGCTTGCAGCCTATCTACTACCGCCCAAAATATTCGACTGTCTGTTTGGAGGGAGATATTGGGATAGAACACATAACAGTGCTGCAGATCAGTGTTCTTCAAACTGTGTACACGTGCGGGCCAGGAATAAAACGGGAAATGTTTTCACGGACAACATGATAGCTATA